TGACCGGCAAGACCATCACCCTGGATGTGGAGGCCAGTGACACCATCGACAATGTCAAGGCCAAGATTCAGGACAAGGAGGGAATCCCTCCTGATCAGCAGCGTCTGATCTTTGCTGGCAAGCAGCTAGAGGATGGCCGCACCCTCTCTGACTACAACATCCAGAAGGAGTCTACTTTGCACTTGGTCCTGCGCTTGCGAGGAGGCATGCAGATTTTTGTCAAGACTTTGACCGGCAAGACCATCACCCTGGATGTGGAGGCCAGTGACACCATTGACAATGTAAAGGCCAAGATTCAGGGCAAGGAGGGAATCCCCCCTGATCAGCAGCGTCTGATCTTTGCTGGCAAGCAGCTAGAGGATGGCCGCACCCTCTCTGACTACAACATCCAGAAGGAGTCTACTCTGCACTTGGTCCTGCGCTTGCGTTGAGTGGTGTCAGCAGTGACATGGTGAGTTCTTGGCTTCGAGTGTTTTTTTTGCAATGCTTTGTGGGGAGTTTAGAACCTACTGGAACGTGGTTTAAGATTGTTTAAGAACTGTAGCATACAGTAGTAGTGTTCAAAGTGTTCTATTGACTGAATAGTTTTTCAGGATGACACCATCTCTCAGGACCTTTCCCTTTTTTTTAATGTTTCACTGAAGCCAAGAGATCGAAACCTCAGTTTTGTGACATTGAGACCACAGCGGCGCCCACTTCCCCGGCATGGAGGTCTTAAGTTGATCATCCCGTCAGATGCTGATAATGACGGAACAAGACAAACAAAGAACAAACACATACTCTATAATATATATATATATATTATAGTTATATATATATACAGTATATATTTTGATTCACTATATAATATGTGTTGATGTATAGACTATGAATGAAGGTGTGCAAGGCCAGGTACTTGTGGCATTCCACTCATGGGTCAGTGCTCTTGTTTCCAAGAGGATGAACACTTCCTGTCAGTGTCCTTGCTCCTAGTAGCGATGCCCTTTGCTCCTAGTAGCTTCTTGTTCCTAGTAGTAAGACCAGGAGCCCCTAGTAGCGTCATAGACAAGATTTTATGGCTACAGGTTTGGACACATCTAATTTTGCGTGTCCGTTGCTGATATCAATGGATGTTCATTGCAAGGTGTGGCTTTTGTTGAAACCAGTTATATAACAGTCATTTATTCCCTTTTGGGCAGGGAATCGGGTTCAGATGGCGCTGCTGGCGGTTTGAATGCAAAACACGGCTGCTTCACAGTCAACTGAGTCCAGCGTTCTAGACATCTCACGAAGCTGTGGATGGAAGAGGCTGCGACATTGTACAGCTAGTGACTGGGCATCCGAGTTGTTCCTCCTCGACTATTCTGATTTCAGCCTGGTTGAGTTGAGCAAAAGGACTGACTGACCGGCCTCCAGCCTGGTTATCGCAACTCTTGTACCTTGGGTTGACCTCATTGCCATTGAGTCATCTTGCCATGGAAGATGGATGGACCTCCGAATAACCTCCATCCAAAGGAAGAGCTGATTGTCACTTGCATGGCTACCAGCAGCGTGGAGTGCATTTTCTGCCACGTTGTCACATTGTCTGCGCCCGCCCAGGTGTCTCATGAGAAAGATAGGTCTTGCTTGCTTGTTTGCCGGTTTTTGAATGGGCCAGGAAAGGGGCGAGAAGGGAATCATAAAGACCGAGGCCTGGACCTTCAACACTCCCAGTTCAATCACATGCCATACAAGTGCGATGCAGTGCATTAGACCTTTGACATCATTGTCCCCGGCCGCCTGACCGCGGGCCAGCGCCTTCCGCGAGCTGTGGCAAAGCGCTGCTTCCATGCGCCCCAGGGTGAGAACTGGGCACGGAGACCGATTTTCTCCGGGCGGAGGGAGGCGGGAGAGGCTATGCTGCTAGGCCGTCCTCCACGGGGCGAATTGGGGTGGGGCAAAAGGTTATTGAAAAATTGAGCGCAGTGCGCCCAGGGTGAAATCCACAGGTTTTGGCCTTCAGATGGTTGTTGTCATACCGACCAGAACATTGCGGAAAGCAGATGTTCTTGCACTGGCGCAGGTCGCGCTACATCACCAGATTCATCGGTTGACCATGTGAACAAATGTGAATATTTGTCTCACCTTCAAGCCCCATGAAGGTTTGACTGATGAACATTTATTGCCGCTTTTTGATGCTTTTTGGCTCATGGAACAGATGGGGAATGCGTAGTGTGCGGTCCTCAGTGGGTGGCGTGGCCGATGGAAGATGATAGGGTCCCAGAAATGCGCTGCATCAAGACCTGTCCCAAAATGTGCTGGATGATGGGGGCGTTTCTTTCCAAGTTCCAAGTCATTTTGGTGTCAACTGCAAGAGGCGTCCAGGATCGTACAGGGACACTGGGGTCGGAGCTTCGTGCATATGGATGTTTCTACATGAGCGTGATGTAGTACCTTGGACCGGGCCATCACCTTTAGCTGGATGAAGATGATGACATGATACAGGTTGATCTCAGGAGAGAAAGCGCCAACACCTGCAATGACCAATTGTTTTCTGAAAGAGCGGTTAAGAATTTCAGGAATTTGGCTGAAGCCTGCAAACGCGATACTGTAGGCCCCTCTCAAATGAGCATCAAAAGACAGGAAGATGACTTGTTTTGTGCCAGATGCTTTGTTATATGCTTGGCTGTACATTCAGAGTCAAAGCCGAGAAAGGCGCCCAACACCTCAGACTGGGTTTGAATGGGCGACAGACACCTGGGAGTTGCGAGTGGATGACGATACATCTATGCTGTCCATGCGGCAGTTATCCCATTCATGCTGCAGCAGTCCAGTGAGTTTCCAAATGTTGCTTGATGGATCTTTCGGGGCTAGCTAGATAGAAGCAAGGACGCTACGAACTAGGGGAAGCTGAAGAAAAAGAAGAAGAAGAAGAAGAAAACACCGGCACACCTGTCGACCAGTGACGACATGGATACCAGGTAGACCTCCGGAGGCCTTACGGCCATGGTCCGCCAGCGGCGCGACTCCAGCCGCAAGTGGGGTCCCCAGGGACTGGCATCAGGGGTGACTGGTCCGACAACAATGGCAACAATGCCCTTCTTGATGACTTAGTGTATGATATATAGCTGAATAATGCTGAATATAATATGATATGTTCCAGACTAATTCTTTTGCTATGCTACTTTGTTTGGACCGAAATGCGGTTGCTGGTGCATGTTCCGGATGCTGTACGGGTTTCCCTCCTTGGTCTTTGGCCCAGAGGCGCAGCCGGAGCCGGCAGCGGCGGCGGCGCCGGCGGGGGAGAGGTGGGGATGATCGAGGATCAGTCGCAGGGCGGGGGCATGGTGAGGCTCCGGCTTGGTCCAAGGGTTGGTGGTTTCGGTCGTGTCACGGACCAACGCATTGGGGTTGGTTTCTGAAGGTTTGTTGTTGTCACCATAGAAGTCCTTTGATACAATATATGTATATAAGATAATAATATATATATATATACCCCAAGTGGCCCAAGTGTACTGTAAGCGACCTGGATGGCCTTGGGTGGGGGTCATCAGTTCAACGATACATCGAATGACATGTGGGCGTGTCGTGTTTAGAAGAGGTTCTCTCTTTTCGCAGATGACCAGCCCCCCAAATAGCAGGTTCATCGATCTTTGCAATCTCATCAGGGGTTGGTCATCCCTGCATGGGTGGTCGTGGGGGTATTGAACCACACCCAGTAGTATGGCGGTACTCCACTTTCGGACACCGAGGACCGATACGACATTTGGGTTGACCACGCTGCAATGCGGGGCATTGGGTTTCCAGGCTGATCAGGATTGCGATGATCCAGGATTCTTGGAAATAAAGCTGACACTCAAAAAAAGACGATGATGATCCTTGCATTCCGACAGGTTGCCCAAAACAACAAGTTCTCTACACGAAAGACTGTTGTACTCCGCACCAATCACCCCCAGCTTCTTGGGTAGCTCGAACAGATTGACAACTTTTAAGAGGTTTGAGGAGCTGTTGATGTGAAGGGGATGAAGGGAAGATAGATTCTTGAAGATCAAAGCTCCTAGTAGCGTCCTTGTTACTAGTAGTGAGGCCAGGAGCCCCTATAGTAGCGTCCTTGCTCCTAGTAGCGATGCCCTTTGCTCCTAGTAGCGTCCTTGCTCCTAGTAGCGATGCCCTTTGCTCCTAGTAGCGATGCCCTTTGCTCCTAGTAGCGTCCTTGCCCCTAAGGGAAGGAAGGGATTCCGAATCTTCACGCATCTTTCTGGCTTGCGAATCCAGACTTCAAGTGGCATGCGCCATCCGTCTAGTCGGCAGGTTCATCTGAATCCTCACCGTCACCCTCGAGCTCCTCAGGCGATCTGGGTGACCAGAAGTCCAACATCCGAACTGACAGTGTGAGGGCAGATGATGTTGATGGCTGGAGATCAACATATGGCCGTTCCATGCTATCTTGGTGCCAGAAGCACTTCAAAAGCATGAAAACAGGTTCACCCTGCTTTTCAGAGGGCTTGAGTTTATGCACATTAAATGAACTTTTTTCCATGAAGTTTGCTGGGTCCACCCAGGAAAGAAGTATCATTACTAAGCTTGAAACTTGGCATAGCTTGAAACTACGGACGAGTTGAACCCCTTGGTAGAATGTTGGTGGATGTTCCTTTCATGTCCCATGCCTTTTGACAATTCTTTGCTGAAAGTTTTCTCCCACTATATACTCTTGAAGAAAGACAAGCTGCAGCAGCTGAGATCAAGGGCATATCCCACCGCTCCAATACTTGTACCGCGTTTTGATGTTGTTTTTTGCATGGTTTTGCTTCTTTTTTCTTCTTCCTACAGAAGGAAGAAGGATGACCCTGGCACCGGTTCTCACATTGAAAACACGAGAAGACCTTAGCAACTCCGCCGTTGATGGCCCCTCGATGCCCATGGAGGCTCGAAACGCAAGGGCTCCGGTGGCTCCAAGCGCTCTGCTGCGAAGCCCGGTGCCAGCGGCTTCGGCGGCAAAGAGGCCGTGCAGAACGGGCGAGAACAGATGAGAAGGGATAGGGCGAAAGACTTAGCAACAAAGCCTAAGAAAGCTGAGTGAAGGTGAAGATGTCTAAATCAACTAATGAGGCTATTGATGGTAATTGTATGTATTTGTAGATTTTTGTACTGATTCGTTCAAGCAGGACTGATGTCAGAAAGTGTGAGCAACCATTTAGAAGACTATGTTTAGCCTCATGATTTGGATGTGGCTTTATCTCCAGCACTTCCGCCCTGCCGCCATTTGCATCAAAAGAAAAGAACCTTGGCTCGAGTCTTGCAGTGGAGTCGAGTCTTGCTGGCCAAATGTGCCCCCCAAAAAAATATTGGAGACGAAGAATTTGTACCATAAAGGGCCCAATCCAGATGTGTCCTTTATATAATAGTTGTTGGCATAAGCAAGCCTAGGTGTCAAACTCAGAAGACCACCAGAATCTAGAAGACCCCTGCAGTTGTCTGGGATTGACACGCACACACAGAATTCCTGAACCAACAGCACTGCACTGTCACTTGATATCACTTGCAAAGCAGTATGACAGAAACTAGTGAGACTTCGTCACGATTCACCCAATGGGTTTGCAATACTTCCATCACACATTGTCCTTGTCCTTGCTTGTGGTTTTGACACCCGGAATATCCGCCGCATTCGGTCGAATTCATTTGAGAAGTGCTCAGCAGTACAGCCGACCATCATTTGGACTGTCTTCCACGCTGACTGAGCTTGGAGCTGAGTCACACGCACGCACAGCCAGGCTTTTCATACGGAAATGAACGGACATGATGCAAATCCAATTGCAACAGAGTTGACGATGGTCTTGCCCTTCCTTCCAAGGTGCTTAAGGAATTTGAGCCAGACCTCAGACCACCAGGCAGAAGTCGTGCCCTGGCTGCGAACCAATGTGTCATATCTTGTACAAATTGAACAGGACCTGGTCAGGCCTTAAAAGGTCAATGGCAAATCTGCCAGATCAAAGCTTGCAGCTTGCAATCAGGGCCATGAGATGCTGGCATTCCAAGGACGTCGATACTGACATCCGACGTGCGGAGAAGGAAGGTCATTGGTCCAACCTTTTTGCAGCACGCTTTCAGAGAGATGCAGCTGGGTATCCAAAAGCTTTTCAGATTTGACAAGCATTGAGCTCCCAACATGTAGGGGAGCAGAAGAGGTGAGACTTCCCAGCCTGTTTCATTGCCTTTTCATGCCTTTTCCACCTGTGGTGTTAGAGCCCAAACCTCTGAGACGGCGCAATATGCAGAGCTAAGGTACGTCTTTAGACCGCAACAAATACCTCTTTCCACTTGCAGTTGTGGCAAGATCTCGAAACATACCAGGCACTGGAGCCGGCTGAGGCTATACTGACAATCTGTAAGATGCATTTAGATGTTGATGTGTGTTTAAGGGCCCTTTGGGAGGCGCTGGTGAGCTTTTGTAGCAAAAGTCGTACTTATTGAAGCACACTGAAGTAATTTGTGAAGGTAGACGTGAAGCAGTGATAAATATTGACAAGCATTGTTGCAGATCATGACATTTTATTTGACGATGGATTTGAAGAACGCTCTCCAAAATCATCCAAAGCTGTGCTGTTGCTCATCCAGAATTCCACATCTTTGAGAACAGCCCATGTTCCCCATCGCCGATGGACCTTAGGTTGGAGTTCATCACTAGTAGGTTGGAGGTCATCGCTATTAGAAACAAAGAAAAGGATGAAAGGTCCAATCGTTTACTATTAGGAGCAAAGACGCTACTAGGGGCTCCTGGCCTTACTACTAGGAGCAAGAAGCTACTAGGGGCTCCTGGCATCGCTACTAGGATGCTATTAGGTTGGAGGGTCTCCAGTCTCCACTGGACACGA